TGTCTATATTCGTGTCTGCCTATCAGTCAATAAAACGCAAGAGCACTTTTTTGTTCGCGTTTCACAATAACGAGAAATCCGTTGTTGGCGAAACTTCTCGAGATGTTTGAGAAATGGTTACAGAATACTTATTCTCCCCGTTTGATCAACGTAAAGGGCGTTTACAAACCCTCTGGTGCAATTTTGATCAAATGTTGTTTCCCGAAAACTCGATTTACTGATAATAACATAAAATAAGGTTCCCTTAACAGTATGCCTATACATGCATAGGGAGGTTTTTATACACTTTAGTCTTTTAAGTCTTTCCTAGGACTCAAACCACCACCCTTTCTATGGATTTAAACTATATTCTATGTTAATTCCTATATGATAAAATGTTTCGTTCTTGGCTCAAAAATGATCAAAAATATGTGTTTTTAACTATCAGTAACTGCAAACGTAAGTTTCAGTAGGTTGTATGTATGTATTTTTGTGTTGTTGTATTCGATTATCCTGAAGTGTAAATTCAACAACGTGATTTAAAAAAATAACTTTGTGTTTCCTTGACAGTACCTCTACTCTCGTTGAAAATGTGATCACAAGAATAATTTAACTGTAACCTGTTTCCATGTCTTTAATCTAATAGCAATCAGATCAATTCTGATTGCTATTAGATTAAAGACCTCAGATAATTATAATTGCAAATACGTGATAAAAGTCCTGTTTTATTCATTTTCTATTTTTTAAAGCAATTAAAACCGCTTAGAGATGTCACAACCGTATCGTGTTTAGACTAATTTTGCAAGTAATATTATTAAGAACTCAGTAATTAGCGTAATGATTATGTAAAATCAAGAGCTAGGAAATTGTGGTCTTGTAGCACCAGGCTGGTTGGTGATTCTAACAAACACCATTAGCACAATCGGAGGGTAGGCCGGGCTGCAGAGTGTTTGTGCCAATAGCGACCCTGCTAGTTTTCAGTGCCACATGTGACCCAGAAGACGATTTTGTAAGATGAGTTGTGTCAACCAAAGTAACATTCCTGGCAAAGATAATCAAGAGCATTTTAAATGTCCTATGTGAGAATTGGGACTTTTATTTACCTGGTCTGAAAACCCAGTTAATCAACAAAACCAATGTACGTTTAGGTAGTAATATCTTCTATTATGGACTAAGGTAGAAGTTTCAATCCATCTTAAGTTTGACCAAATATGATCGTAGCTTAATTTAACCTCCGACAGAATGAGCTTATTACCAGATTTCTGTAGAATACACATAATTTCTTACCAATCTATTGATTAGAGCTTGGTACTATGTATTTTCGATGTTTTAGGTAAATTTCTTGAAAGGGTTTTATTGAATAACACTAATTTAGAAACTAACTATGAAATAATCATGCAGTTCAAGGTAAAAATAAATAATAAAATAAGTATCCATATCATCAGAGGCAAAGTAAAGTGGTGAAGAAAAATATTTGGATAATCTCAGACCAAGAATAAAACCGACATGGCTTCTTCTTGGCAACTCTTAAGGCCAATGTTAAATGTCTTGATGATTTTTAAATACCGGTACTTTAATACTTGTCGATGAAATGGCGACCAAACAAAGTACTGTACTGTAGGTATTTTAAGCCAAGTATGAATGGAGATGAGTGTAGGATGAGTTGTGTAGGCAAGTACGAGTTATCCTGAGATAGTGGCTTTCATCAATCAAGTTTTTAGACGTAAAAATCTATAATTCCAAACTTAAGCCTAAATCCTTCCTCTGGGTTTCCAGAAAAATTTTACAAACATACAAATCCACAAACACACAAATAGACATAGCTTGTATTAGAGTATAGAATTTGCTACTATTTAATTTTAATGATACCACTTAAATTTATTGAAAGAAGACTCAAAATGTTAGGGTACAAACAAACAGGAAGCGGCACAGCTACAGACTTACGCAGAGGGGCTACAGACATACAGAGGGGTTTCAATTCCAGCTCATACATAAGTAGATTATGCTTGCAGGGGGTACAAGGTACGATTCCAGGGGGTACAAATCCACGGGGGTACAATTACGGGCTGTACATCTCTTGCTCTTTTTGGTTTAAAAAATATTTAACGGGTTCACTGATCAGATGCCTACATTTATACATTAGATTCCTTTATAATCCAAGTGTACAGGCAGGAAATGTACACCTTTGTGGGAAGTCAAAATAACATTAATGATCAGTAGGAGGTACACATCCAGGAGGGTATAATTCCGGCAAACCAGTAAGAATAATAATCTCATAAGGCATTTTTTTTCTTTAAAACGGCCAGATATTGTGTTTACTACAGTTATGTATATGGTTTCGTTTTCGTACTGTATCTGTAAAAGAGCAAACTTTATATGCAAGCAGAACAGGCTAAGGACACACTACTAAGTATTATAGAGTAAATTAATTTAATGTATTTCTTCTTTTTCAATGTTTCAGATCTTTTTGACAGCTGTGATTTTGCAGAAATCGGCAGCTCTTCCAGTTGAGTAAGTATGGCTGTCATGATTTCTAAAGAAATAATTTTTTTTTTTATGTATACTGTATTTGTACTTAGGAATACAGGGACAAAAGCCCCACTGTGTGTTGACTATAGGTTGTTTGGTTGAAAATAAGTAATAAATGACAGTACCATCTTTTCGATCACTGTATATCCCCGCTCCACTGTGTAGGCGCCCTTACATAAGGCGAGTCTATATGAAAACCCCCCAAAACCTATGGACACATTTTTACTGACATAGTGCTATCTGTTATTAACCTAGGAAATCATTCAACACCTGGAAGAGAATCCACTCTGTCAACTCTTTGATATTGAAAGTTGTTTACCTAATAACCATTCCTAATTTTGAATGTTGAATGCTTACATTTTAACTGGAATTGGTTTTTATGTATACTTGAAAAATATGAATAACTTGGTATGGTGATTGACAGCCAGTATACTGCAGTAGCCACAGCCAATGGCCAGCCGCTGTACTGGATCAGCAGTCCCTCAGCCTTCTACAGAGATGCCCCCATAGCTGCATCATCCCCACCTGCACCCTCCGCCTTCTACAGAGATGCCCCCATAGCTGCACCATCCTCGTCTATACCCTCCGCCTTCTACAAAGATGCCCCGCAAGCTGCACCATCTTCGTCTGTACCCTCCGCCTTCTACAGAGATGCCCCGCAAGCTGCACAATCCTCGTCTGTACCCTCCGCCTTCTACAGAGATGTCCCCATAGCTGCACCATCCTCGTCTGTACCCTCCGTCTTCTACAGAGATGGCCCCGTAGCTGCACCATCCCCGCCTGCAATCCCCACCCACTACACTGCTGATGCCAACAACAACTTCCAATATCCACTGTCTCCTCCAGCAACTGTTGTTGCTCCCGAATATTCCTGGATCAGAGCAGGTGTTCCCGCCACAAGAAGCCAAGGAGTGCCATTGGCAGGGACATCTTCTGCTACACCTGAATTTAAAGCTCAAAACCCTAACCCTGAAGCTAACAATCTTTCACTACCTACTTTCAACAATCTTTACACAACCTTACCATTAGAGGCAACAAAAGAAAAAGCAAAAGAACAGGTCATGAAGGAATCAAAAGAACCTCAAGTCACTGTGTATGCTCCAGGCTCATACATAGAACCTGATTACATTCTGAATGTTTTCAAGAAGTTTTTTACTGAACTCGGAGGGACCGGTGTATTCATTTACGCACCAGGTTCAGTATTTACGACAAAAAGCGGAGATGTTTCTACTAACTCCTCATATCCAGGATCTATTATGAATTCATCAGCTGTAGAACCACCAACCCCAGCAAAACCTATTTCACCTCAAACTTCAACATTGCCGATGATGTATTCTAAATCACCATTGGAATATCTTAGTAAGTCTGTTAATATTGTAAATCCATAAAATATAACAAAACAACAGGGGGTTTCAAAAGTTCAATTTATGAAAAGTCAATTGAGACGTGTTAAAAGTTGCAACTTGAATTAAGAAGCAATAGTTAATTGTTGAATAGTTTCATTGTGATAAGTAATTTTTTAAAAAGTATCAAAATGTAGTTAAGTTACTTAATAGTGCTGTTAAACTTGACTTGCTGGAGTAATTCAATTATTATTTTTTTAATACTGTACAGTAAATTGAAACACAACCATAAATAACAAAATTAACCATACAATCTCTTTTAGACAAACATGGGGAATGGTTCTCCTCTACCAATATACTTTCCCTTTACACTCTTGCACAGGCTTAATTAGATCAGCCTAATTTAAACACTTTTACATTGACAGTTTCATAGTTTCTGGCAAAGACTGTTTGTTACAAGGTGAAATTCTTAATGAGAAAAAGAGGGAAAATGCACAAAGAAGAAATACAAAGCAGGAGGAAGAGAGAGAGGAAGAAGAGGAAGCAGAGAAGGAAGGGGATGATGATTAGATTAACGACTCTAATGTTTTTCACTCAATTTTGATAATAACATTGAAATTTGTGCTATTATGAAGTGTATCTTATTCAGCCACCTTTAATGTCGTTGTTTTTATATTTAGTTGTTGCACTTGGGAACAGTTGCACTAAGGGATACCAGCAAAGCTGGTCAAAGCAAACGGGACTGGGGCTCACGATCAATTCAAAGGAACCCCCACCATTGCAAGCTCAGTGGAAGTATACATTCTGCCCTATAGAGAAAATTCAATGATGTGAATGTTACCCTCAACTGCCCCTACTCCTACTTTTTTCTTTAACTTTAAGGAACAAACGAAAATTCGTTGTAGCGAATTCCAGAAATGTTTACTAGAATGTAATCTTTCCTTTCCCCAGATTAAAATGGTCGCGTCACTCATCCTACACTTATCTCCATTCATACCTGGCTTAAAATACCTACTTTGTATGGTCGCCATTTCATAAGAAAGTATTAAAGTATGGATATTTATTTATACTGATACATATTACATACACCTGTAACTTAGTGGAAACCACTGCCTTACTGATCGCTAAAAGGTAAAATAATAGGCAAAGCACTTAAATATATTAATTTAATAATAATTACATACTGAAGTCAATAAATACAAAAATATTAACAAAGTCTAAGCTCAAACATCTTTACATTTAATTTACTTACATTGTAGACTTACACTAGTGACTTAAAAATCCTTAATGGTAAACTGCAACTAATAGTATTCAAAATTTAACAAAAATAATGTAAACCAAATATACTTGTATTTAGAGAGGGAGTATTTCATTAAATTTACAAAACAATAGGGGATTTTGAGAGCTACAAATAATGTACTTTTTTATGGTCTAAGTAACACTGTATGGCAGTTTGTTTGTAGCTTACTAAACACAATTCATTATAATTAGGTATACTTGTTTAAAAAATTGCATGACATTTTTAAATTGAAAATATTTTCACTGAGAATAAATAAGAAAATGGGTTGTCTGTAAATTTGAGTCTCCGCTCCCGTCATAGCCAAGTAAGTTAGCCTGAGCCCCTTGTCAGGTTCTTTACTATATCATCCCCAATGGGACTACAAGTCTCAAAACATTTGTGAAAAAAAATTGATACTCTCACCAAGTATAAATCAAGTTCTGTGATCAGGTTTCTGTAGAAAGAAGGCCAATCTCTGTTGAGATCAGTTTTCATTAGACAGGTGAAGAAAAGTACGTGTTTCAATGAGTAAAAGTTGCATAAGTGACTTAGGTAGTTCACAGAAGTCCTCACATATTCTCCCAGGGAGGGTGGCTGTGGGTATTCATTAGTTTCCACAGAGATAGTGATTAATGTCATTGAAACTTTTGCTTTCTTGATCCGTGTGTTTAAGACCAAACAGGGTTTTAAGTTCTTGACAGCCTTTTAGAGACGTCCCCAATCAGCATGTAAATTTCCTTCTACAGTCACACCATGATCCGTAGACATAATTTACTTGGGGAGAATCAATTTTCTTTTGCAGCATTTTTGTACACAATGTCAAACCTAATGGTGCCTTAGAGGTGGAGACCGACTAGGAAAAAAGTGGCCAAGCAAAGAACAGGACATTGGTTTTAGATTTAAACTAGCTTGCTTGGTCAAGCTTGGTGGAAACCATAGCTTACAGACAACCTTTGTATAAATGTTTTATTAATGTATAGTTTAATAATTTTTCAAGAATAGTGCTTACAATGATTTTATTTAAAACCACACTTAAAGCTTTTGTTTTATACTCTAATGGTTTCTCGCATATCCGTTGCAGAGCAGAGGTACAAATTATTGCTTTTCACTTATACATTATATATAACTAATTAACACGTTCCCTACCGACCGTCACACTTCTCTATACCTGAGGGATGAGTATAGGTGGTAGCAAATGTGTTAAATAAACTTTGCTTTATGCCAATAAAAATGTTGTTGGTCTAAAAAACCTGCAATACAAAATTTGAATACAGATAAATAAGGTTTTACAATATTATTTACTTCTCATTTATCTTAAGGGGAAAGAAGATTTAAATCCTCTTATATGCTGTAAAGCAGTGGATAACAATGTAAACCTGGTTGCATCCACTAGGAACGTCGTCCGCAGCTGGTAGGATACAGTAGGCGGTGGCGCTGATGGTGGCAATGTGCTGATTCAGGTGGCAGTGGTAGAGTGATCATGACACAGTGTTGCTGCTGATCCAGTCCAGGTACTGAGTGATGCGAGTGTAGACACCCGGGTATCCTGGTTCGCCACATTTGTTGCCAAAGGACACAATGCCAATCTGCATCCAACGGCCGTTCTTCTTCAGCACCAAAGGTCCACCAGAGTCCCCCTGAAACAGAGACAGTGTGAGATAAAAATAGCTATAAACATTAAAGAAATTATTCTAATTAACAATCAAAAATACTATGTAAAACTATACATGACAGTAATCGTTTATAGGAGTCACTACTGAAAAGCTTTGCACTGTACGATGGGCATCAGTCCATAGCATTATAGGAAATAATTGCACACAGTAAGTAATGGGAAATATTATAAGACCTTCTTCTAATCATTCTTTAACCACAGTTATATTAACAAAAATTGATGAAATGAATTTTAAATTAGCTATTTTATTGATAATTTTAACCAGATTGAGGTAGGTAAATCACTCATTATGGAATAATTTCTGCAATTATATTTTAAAATATTGTAAATTAGTACAATAATTTATTTATATAATAACTAACTGTATTAACCTATAAGTCAATGTTTATGATACGGTTTTACATAGATGCTAATTTTTCATCTACAATCAGAGCCAGCCTTGAGTAGTGCGGGGCACAGTGCAAACATTTATAGCGGGGCCCTTATTACAAAAAAAGTAGTACCCCAACAATACTAACAAACAAAAATCTTAATCTACAGTATTAGTATTTATGCTAACCCCCTTTCCTTTTCTTTTATAATAATTGACATAATTGATACAAAAATCACAGATCCTTTAAATTTATTTTTGTATTTGCAAGCGTAGGGCCACCCGAGGTGCCACACTGTGCAGTCACATCTTTTGCTTCTAAGCACTGGGTTTGGTGATTACAAAGCTTAAAAGTGATTGGTGGGATTTGAACCTTAATATCTCCAATCCCTAACTGATTGTCCACACCCTTATGAAATGAAAATGTTATATACTACAAAGTAATCCTAAAAACATATTATATTACCTGACAAGCATCTTTTCCACCCTCCTTCAATCCAGCACAGATGAAGTTCTCGTTGATAGGCTGAAAGTATGTTCTGTCACAATCTTCATTCTTCCAAACAGGTAGAGCCACTTGTCTCTGTACTGTACTTTCTTTACCTCCTGCCAAATTAATAAAAGGATTAAACAGTGTTTCCTCAATAATCTGACACTTTTGTTGTCTGACGTACTTGGTACACCATCGGCAGTCCTATCAGTGGAAAAAACGATGCGTCAATGCAGCAACATGAATCCCCACACTTAGTGATGTAGTTGTAGAATTTTCAGTGTGGGATCACCATTGTTGCAGATAAATACAGGTCACTTCCCTATAAAGGTTCTTTGAAAAAAGCAGAGTGGAAGCACCGTTCCCATACGTCCCCGCCCTACTACACCATTTCTGCACAATACAGGATGAAAAAAAGTCCTGAGACAGTTAGAAATTTAAAAAAATAATACAGAGAGAGCTATATAACCACTAGGAGTCAGAAGGCAATTTTAAATGGAGGTATAGGTAGACATGTACATAAAATTAAAGGTCTTTGTTGGTGAAACACAGTGCCACAAACTCAAATAGATAATTGACGAAAAACATGACAGCCGTTTAAAGATTCCTTAGATTTTCAATGCAATTACACTCTTACCTCCTCATGGAGGCACCTGCTAGGAGTCAGAAGAAAATCATAAATGTATGCATAGGCTGATAACCATATCAAATTAAAGGGCTTTATTAGACGAATACATTACCGTGAATGAACACAAAAGAACAACTGAGTATTTTAATTTTACTAAGACCCTTAATTTGATGTGCATATACGAATAATAATTACATTTCACATGTACTATTAGATCCCAATAAATCCTAAAGAAAGGTCATAAAGGTGTTCAGAGAGTATATAAACTTGTTTGACGTACCATAGTATGTCGTGCCCCATCCGACCACAGTAGGCTGGTCGCCCACAAAGTTGCTGTGTCTGTACTGCGGAGGCGGCAGACATACGGGGATGACATAACGTGACCGTCGCGCAGATTTCTCCAACACCAGCACTGCGATGTCATTGTAGAAGCCGACTCTGCTGAACCTCGGGTGAGCCCTGACCTCGGCCACGCGGTACGTCTGAGGACCTGACGGCTCGTCGTTGCGCTTCAGGTCGATATCTCCAAGCCGCACTGTGAACTGACGAGCCTGGAACCTGAAACACAACACTTGTTTGCTTTTGTATAGTTTTCAATTATTGTCATTGAGGATTTTTAATACTTAAGAATTGGCTAAAAACTTACTTGCTTTTTGGTGGCTAAGAAATTTGATTTAACACTTATAATCATGATACTAAAGCATATTTTTATATTAAAGTTAATCAAGTGTTTAGTAATTAATTCAGTTCAATAAATTATTTTGTAAAATTGCTGGTACTATCACACAGTGTCATAAAAACGATTCATCTCTCTACATCATAGGGGACTTACACACTGACCAATGTGCTAAAACATATTGCTATCACTATTATGAACTGTTAACTTCAGATTAGTCTACCTTTTATGCATCAAGTCATCTCCATTTTATGTAACTTCTAAATGAGTTACTGTATTTGTTCCCCTTGCTATTGTATACACCACTCCAGGATTACTTTTCCCATGTATCTTCCCTTGATGCCTGCAGGTTGGGCATCCTTGGTCACCCGCAAGGCACAAGGCTTCAAATATCATTTGAACAAGAATCAATGATTTCTTCTTTTTTTAATAGAATAAAATAAATCAAATTAACCTGTATTAAAACTTAATTTCTGCAAACCACTATTGTCAATCCATATCTCAAACATGTATATCCCAACAGAAAAGATAATAAATATCTTTCCTAGTTTGTTTTGCATGTCACAAAACCAGAGATTAATTCAACATACATTATGTGGAAGGAGTAATTCATTCATTAATATCAATTTAATAACAAATATTAATGAGGAACATATTTATCCTAGTCAATTTTCCCTGCTAGTCACAATGTTATGTTAGACTGGCACTAGTAGAACCTGTGCAGACACTCCCTATACATCTTTACTGAATGAAACAACTCCAGTTAACATAATCGTAAAAAAAGATACAATTATAGTCAGGTTCTCATGGCTTACGGCCTCTGACGAGTGTCTTTGGTGCAATGTGCTGCAGTGAGGATGTACTTGGAGCCGATGAGAGAGCCTCCACACCAGAACTCTGTGCGACGAGGTCCATGCAGGAAGATGGCCGCCATCCACGGCCACCTCCCTGGCAAAGCCTCCTCACCTCCCACCACACGGAACTTGGGCGCCTCCTGTACTCCACACTCCCCTACAACATAAAACGGACCCAGTCAGATGTCACCTGAGAACTTGGTACAAATGCAAAATCTTCATAGTTTTTCAACCATTACAGGTATTGTTAAAATTGTTTTGATATAAATAATTATCAATCATTGAGAACGTTACCTAGGAGCGTACTTCAACCCAAATGTGAGTGAAGAGTGGTGTGAGATGATCCGTGTAGCTTTGTTACTGACTAAGATCAGCAGTTTCATTAGCCAGCCCAGGATCATTTATTTAAAGCTCAATGATCAGGAACAGCATGGTCAAGTGAGCCATCAAAAAGCGACAGACTTTACTCAGGATCGAACCGGCAACCTTTTGATTTTTAGAAGAGCACTATAACCACTTGGCTACCCAGCCATCCAACACATTAAGTGTACGGTCAGATTAACAAAGTAGATGATAAAGATAGTCTATCCAATTAATATTTAATTTCAACATTTAAACATGTTTTGGTGGCACATTCCTTTTTTACAACAATTACAAAAACAATGATGGGAATCAAGTATGCAGCTGTACAATGTTATAGTCCGTTAACACATTTTAGATGGTTTGAGAGAAAGTTCCCCCACTACCTTTTATGCTTAAAGTATTCTAGCTGTGTGGGTTCTACGGACGGGATCATGTAGTCAGTTAAAACCTTCTTATAATCAGAACAGCATTTGGTTAGCATATTATTTTTCCAGATATGCAGGCAAAACTCCGTATACAGCACTGTGTCAGGATCTGTTTCCCGGTTATCAAAACTCAAGTACAATATGACAACACAGAATTTCCGATTAGCGACCTGAATGATGCCTAGAAATTTAATTTAATTTACAGTTGCACATTACATTATTGCACTTGCGATTAATAAATCCGTTATGTAAGGCACCGATGTTGCAGCCGATTATGTTTAGGCAAACCTCAGCTGTTGAGGTACTGTTTTAAAGGTCAAGTGGAGGGAATAGATTTCTTTCCCTAAAACTGCCAAAATTTTGATAAAAGAATTTAACTATCAAGAAATAAAAGATTTCTTTGTTGTTGTTGTGAATCCCACCTGTACCGGCATCAAAGTCGATGGAGTTGACGGAGGAGATGGTCGTGGTGTAGATAGTCTGAGAAGGAGACGTCACCAGAGGCACAGCTGTGGTCAAGATCAGGGGTCTCCTGGTGGAAGTGGTCACCTCTTGTAGGAACCTGCATTGAACAAACATTCTATTATAGTGGTTTGCTAGTGAAATAATGCCTGAGAATCTGTTTGAAATCCATGTTACACTGCGGGAAATATCTATACTAAGCTTTGTGAAATTTTGAATTAAAATTTCAGCGAAAATGTTTTCTGTTTTGTGTATGCAGTAAATAAACAGCAAATTGGTAAAGTAAAAATTTTATTTAATACTAAAACCATGAGGATAGAAAACATTCTATTGACTTATAATTTGTTTCACAATTAAAAGCTAAGTTTTGGGGGGATAGTCAGTGTTTTTATCTAATCAAAACGTGGTTGAACAAGCCCCCAATGTGGTGGAACATCCAGTTAGTACATTTTTCTCAGTATTGTTGATACTCTGATACTGTTGATACTTTTATGATGATGACATGGCACAATGAAACTTGGATAAATGAGAAAGAAGCAAATAATTGGCAGATAGTAGCTCTATCAGGGCCCAATTCAGAAGCCTCTATCTATTTGTGTTCTGTAAATGGCTACAACATTTGACTATGAGTATCTAAGAAATTTCATTTCCATGTTAAAGTTGTATGGCTGACTAAAGCATTTTTATATCACATCAGCTATACAGTGCCAACTTCTAAGGAAAAGTGTAATTTTAGATTGTAGCCCACTCCTATGGTTTATTCATTCAAATACGTTCTTTTTAATTAAATTTGGCTACACATCTGGTCTATACAGTCTTCTTCCCAAAGGTGAATGCAGAACATTAACACATGGTATATGCTATTGTACTTTGTACTATGTAACAACTATGTACTTACGTTGTATCAGAACCTCCACCACGTTTAGGACAGCAGACGCCGGGGACGAAGAGGCTCTTGAAGCAGATGCTCTGACGGAGGTTGCCCAGGTCCAGCAGCAGCTGGGGACAGTTGCTGAGGTCCTCGCAGTATCCTGTGCTGCCGCCAGGGGTGGTGCAGGTCCTCACACCCGCGGGGGAGTTCTCCGTGCCTCCGATAGGTAGCACTCGCACCAGAGGCTCCGTCAGCCGCTCAGTCACGTTGCGTCCGAGGACATTCTTGCTGATGGTGATGATGGCTCCTGGTAGGTCCTCTCCGGTCCGCGGCGGCTACAAATAATACATTGGTTACTAATCACAATGGAAAAAATTTAATACCTACTTTTAGTCAACCCAACATGTTTAAGCTGTAGCCAGTTTAAGAACAAAATGGACGTAGTTGAATTGTCAGATATCAATAAAATTACTGATTTATATAAAATATGAATTTTTTTAACCAAACCAAACTAAAAGAATAGTCTATTTGAAAATATAGCATCTTTAATGAAACAAATAGCATTAACAATAATCATCAACTAACGATTTCTACATGATAATCTCTTATCGCAAAAGTGAATCTAGTAATAAAAAAATAATACCTTTGAAGTGATTTAAACACTTAATACTACAGATTTGTACAGCAATTAGATCTATATTAAGTACCGCGTAGTGTTTCGTGCTACAAGATTTTAATATTCGACGGTTGTATCTAACCTCACGTCAATTTTATCTATATAGGCCTATATAAAATCCAATGTATGTTTGTACGTATGTATGTATGTTTGTTAATTTGTTTGTTTGTTTGTTTGTCCTTTATGGACTCCGAAACCGCTCGACGATTGTAATGAAACTTTCAGGCATTATTAAGTATTATTCAAGGATGGTTTGTATGCAGTTTGGTGCAGATCCGTCAAAAGGGCTCCACCCCAGTGGCTCTGGAGTTTCCCATGTTAACCTTATGAGTACTCATATTTAAATGGAATTAAAGAATCTTAACAGCTGGTTATAAACTATTTGATTCTGTGATGTTCAATAGCATAAAAAGTTAATAGGTTTACCAACAGGGTGCAGCACTACTGTATTATTTTTTTAATTTATGACAACAACTAATTTGCAACCAAAAGGTAAGTGAGCGTAACGAAATAACTTCAACATGGAGCCCGAAGGCGAGTTAGCGTAGCGAACGAGCTCCAACCTAAAGGTGAAGGAGCGTAGCGAACGAACTTCAACCAGGACGTGATTGAGCCATGCGAACGAGCTCATCTTAAAAATGAACGAGCATTTTACATAAAACCACATTAGGACAGGACAACGTCTGTCGGGCCAGCTAGTTTCCTAAAAAATTGAATTTTACTTTATGTATTTTAACTGTGTATATTTACAAATAATGCCTATTATCATTGTCTATATATATTCAGAGGTTAAACATGATAAAAGTGTATATATTCGTATAAAGTGAAATTAGAAACTAACATTATAAATACATTTTTATCAGTTTTCTGCAACTACGTAGTTTAAAAACTCTCTCCCCTTTATTGCCTCCCCTTGGATTGCAGGAAGGACAGCGGGGGAATTTCGGTGCGCCGCTGAGGCGGGATTACGGGTCGCGGCGGAGCTTCGGTGTAGTATGTTTTCTGTGCTTCGGTGCGCCCGTTTTATGTGTCCATAGCTTACATTTGGATACTTCACAAGTCAGCCCTTTACCTCGTTTCTATAGGTAACTTATACAAAAAATGTTACACGACAGTTTATGTCCTCTTTCTTACTTAATTCGTAATGATGTTTGACATAGCAAACACTATCCAGTTGTTTTGCTCTTATCTCACCCGTATTTGTTTCAAATTACGCGACAAGGGCTCCCGTCTCTAATGTTTGTGGTAAAAAATTCCAACTGTGACGAGATTGTTTGTGGACTGCGGTAGGTTTGATAGGCCATCAAGCAAGGGGTTTCATGTCTTTTATAATGGAACACTTTGTCCTCACCACTAGCTTGACGCTTTCTCTGAGATAGTTTTAGAGCTTGATAGAACCAAGTTATGGATTTTGAAAGTAAGTACAGATCCTGGAGTGAAATCAGGCTTTCCATGAGCGAGCCCCAATTATAGAGAGGGACTCCTACGTCCTCTACGTGGTTTTGGAAAAGAAAGCGTCCTGTCCGTGGTCCCAGTCCCACCAGGGCATTACACCAAAGTGTCCATCCTTATAGGCTACCCATGCCAAAGTCACTATTGTTTAAAACATTGATCAACAAACTGTAAATAATAAATGGAAACCCCGAGTGTGCCATGTTCTCAATTTAATATTTTAAGGATACCTAATTGAAACATTTTTGGCCTCTATATGTGACCAATAACTTATCTTCCAAAGTCATTAATTTCACTTTTGTATATCTGATAAGTGAGCGGAGCGAAGCGGAGCTCTTTGGGATCGACTTCAATGCAAACTTTGTTTCCATCATGAGCTCTCGAGACCAGCATGAGCGGCTGAACAAATTTTAACCAAAGTTACTAAGGTTATATATCGACAAACAGTGGGAAGGTATGTGCAATAACCAATTTTTATTTAATTTCACCAATACAACATTTAAATGGAATGTAAAATTTCAGTTTTTAACATTAGGCTTATGGGTTGCCATGTTGGTTACGGAATAACAACGTAACTGTAAACAAAGAATCCTAGCATATTTTTATAAACAAGTTAATATACGAGCTAAATACAGTACAAGGGAAAACACTCGTTTGAAGACCATTGATCAAGAATACACAGAATGTCCCGTATTACAGGGTTTTTGGAAAATACCAATGATCAATTAAGTAGTCCAAATAATTTACCAATTCACTTTACTTACCATGAATAAGAACTAAGACAAATAATTTAAATCCTCTGTTTTCTTCTAACAATGTTTCCATGTTTTTGTCAAAACTACCCATGCCAGTTTATAAAGCCAAGACCTACTTTTAAACATGCTTAAAAGTATGTTTTTTTAGTTCATATAACATTATAAAAGGTGATCGCTTCGCTCAATTTTACTACTCTGGAATTAATCCTACTACATTTAATACAGTTTAATATCTAGCGAATTTCCTATGTCATATGCTATTGTCGTAGATGGCACGTTAAGACCTACTATAGACAGAGGACCGATTTACTTTTCCGTTTTGATGTTCTTAGAGGCCAAAAATACTATTCGTTAAAATGTATACTTATTTATGTGTGTGATTGTCCGTGAACACAATTACTCGAGTAATTTTGGTAAAATGTTGATGACATTGGGCATGCATGTCTAGGGATAATATTTATAGCCTATTGTATTGCTATTATTTACGTAGGCGCGGTCTCTAGACTCGAAGGTATACGTGGGTGAACTTCCGTTAAATCGGTAAAGCGGCAGATCCCCTCCGAGTAAATCAATAAGCGAAATATTTTCTAACATAAAATTGACTAACTCAACTAACTTGATATGGGAACCCAGCTTATCGGATACCCAGAACTTAAAGGTACCGGCTGTGGGTAAATTGCTCCCCTTTGGCTGGTGCGCCAGCGAGGCCATGGTGCGAAGTTTTTGCCTTGACTATACTGTCTCGGCTGTAGGTAAATATTGCTCAATTTGAAAAAAAAAAAATAAACTCCACAAAGTTGCACCACTACGAAAATAACATAATGTGCGTTACAAAATGTAATTTCCTTTGAACTCAAAGTTGAAGATACAATGCAAACATTGGTATTCCTAACCAAACCTAACCCTCAGACCTAGTAGTTGACCTAGGAAAACATGACTTGCACCCCATATCACATAAATACTACGGTAGTGATTCATACTTTGGTTTCACAAAGCACGTCGTGATTAGGTCCAAGTAAGAAAGAGTACAGTCAAGGCAAACAGATCACACCACGGCCTCACTGGCGTCGTGGTGTGCCAGCCAAGGGAGGGCAGTTTACCTCCTGCTTTGTACTTACCGGAGGAGAGTCGAGGCGGTCGCCGGGCGGAGAGCCGCGTGTGTAGTTGACCAGGTAGCGACCCACGGTGTTGATGGCTCCCAGAGTCTCTGAGATGGTGGCCAGAGTGTCCGGGGACAGATGTCGACCACTCTCCACACTCCCTGAGTCCTCTACGCCGGGGAACCCTACACTGCTGTCGACCTCCCACAGGGGCGACACCTTGCTTTGTCTGAAATGCTTCGACTGACGGAAACTACCGGGGAAGCTTGACTCCTCACTAGACTTCCAACCGGTCACTTCGTCCGAGACTCTCACCGACGACGAGTCCCTGAATAGATTCGATGCTGTGTCAGGCTTACCGAACAACGATTCATTCGACTCATTCGATTTAACCGGGTGGAATTCCTCGGAAAAGTCTTCTTGAGAATGCGACCTTCCTTCGACTTTGAAAGCGGATTGGGCATGTGGTTCATTTTGGTTTTTGAACCTGAAAGGGGTTTCTGATGACTCTAGGTTGGATCTTTGTTCTGCACTGTATGATGTTGACAAGTTGTCGTCTTTACCAAAAGTAAACGATGAGGAGGGTTCACGATTGAAATTTGATCTCCCTTCAACGCCGGTACCCGTGGAATAGTGGTTGTCACTCTCGAATCTAAAGGAGGACCCTGTGGGGTACTGGTGAGCGGCGGGGGAGGACCACGAGGGTCCGGGGTCGTGGATCACGGAGGAGCGACTGTGGAGGCGGTCTGTCGGCGACGACCAGCGAGGCTCCGAGTCGTCAAACCTCACATTCGACCTCGCAGACGACTCTCTGAAATACACTGGAAATATAAATATGCGTGTTAGAATGTAACAATAAATAATACAATGAAGAATATGTCCATATTTTATATGTATTTGTATAAAAATGAGTGAAGTTTTACTAAGTTAAATATTGTATGAAAATTTTTACTCGTAAATTGTTATATTAACCGTAACAACGAACAATAAACACTATATATCAATCTTAAAACCCAGTACCCTATTAAATTATTATTAGTTTATTTATGATTGAAACTCTTTCATGCAAATTTATCATTCACAGAGCACTTATACATTTTAAGTTTCCCTCATTATCTAGTCTCAGATGAAACATCTGATTTTCCGTCCTGAAGACAGATGTCACATGAAAGCGTTACTTCACTTCCAGGACAGTTTATATTACACTTTCCACTTTCTAAGAGATCGTAATTAACACAAAGCACATCAATAGCAGGATGGATAGAATATTTACAACATTCAAAATGACAGAACTCTCGCTTTGCAAACAACACTTTCCAGTCGATAGTGCAATGATTTCTTCGCTTAATGACATGTATCATTGTTAAATTAGTTGACATTGAATTTGATATCAGCAGCATTAATGACGAATTTCTATGGAGCTATTCCAATACAGATTTTTTTTTATTTTAAAGCTGTAACGTACATTACTAAGCAAACTACTAAAATATTGTTGTGTATATGTCGATCAATATGTGTTTGATAGTGTTGTATTTTACGGACGTTTTAGAAAGAAAGAAAGAAAAAAGTGCTTTATTCTTCACAACTTATTTACATCTTTTACAATAAAAAACAAAACACACAAAACAATGGTTTATTTAAACCGTCTGTTTGGTTGGCACCTTGCTGTAAAATAACATATTTTAAAACTGTAACATGTAAGTAACTATTTAACTAGGTATACTTATATAAAAAAGTACATTTATAATTATTTTTAAATTTATGTAATACAGCTCGTAAAAAACATAAAATAAAAGCAACATTAATTCGTTTAAAAATGTGGTTCCAAGCGAGTCTCATGATTTTTAATTATAATTGAAGAGAAATAAATAAAGAAAGAAATTTTAGCTATAAATTGAACTCATTAATTATGTCCCACCTATATTTCCATGCCTTACTTAAATACTGGGCTAAAGCTCGCCAATTCCACCCATTTAAAAAACACTCATATTCTGTTTCGTTTAAAGTATTTTTTCCAAGCCAAAGACGTCTGATCCTCCACAAGACCAAAGGCAAGAAATTGATCTTTATCAGGGACTTTTTAGGGCTTTGGTTTATAATGTTTGTGGGCTCAAAAGCAAGGTTAGTGATACCAATTTTTTAAATGTTTTAAAAAGTTATGATTGTATATTTTTTTTGGAAACCTTTATATCAGAGAGTGATGTAGTTTTTATTTCAGCTCAGCTGAAGAATTTCAATTTGTTTTTTAAGTTAGCCGTCAGGACCGGAAATGTAGGGAGGTATAGTGGTGGAGAGATTATAGCAATTAATAAATCATCTCCTTTTATTGACAGCTTGACTTGTGTCGAAGAACATAATTTTAACATTGTAAAAGTGAGTTTCATGAATACACAAAGCTTTCTTTATTTTTGCCTCTTACGGACGTTTTAACTCACTAGTCAAAGTTTCGAGAGCAAGATACAAAACGTCGTATTAGAAATGCAATAAGTTTTCCATTTCACTGCATAGCTTAATTACTCAGGATTACAATACAAACGAAAATCAGATGAATAATTTGGGTAAAATTATCAATCATTGAAATGGGGACGCCACCAATGCACCAATGTCCGTATTTTCATCCAAATCTGAATGAAGGATAGTACAGGTAAAATTATACTAAAAAACCAGTAGAAAACATAAAAATTAGTCCATTCATGAAACTTGCAGGAAACTTAGTAATAACCATTAGGTTTTGAAATCTGAAGAGTCCCTAGTGATTGTGGGGGTGGAAGTACCATTTTATGGGGGTTAAAGTTTATAGGGGTAGTGATTTTAAGAAATTTTTTATTTTTGGGATCCAAGCAAGTGAGGTGTCGTTTTCTATGTTTCTTAGGATGCACAATCGAAAAATAACAAAATAAAAGCAATACAACCAACAGTTTATTAGAAAAATACTAATTTTTTAATGAAAAACTAAATATGAAAAATTAATTAAGGTAAAATAATTCAGTTAATATCAATAATTACTGTATTAAAAAAATAACTATGAGTCTGTGTCATATGTTAAAGTTGTGAGAAAAATTAACCAAGAAACTGGTAGTTTCGCCTCTTTAACCACCACGTGTCATATTGTTCATCAGCTACTGATGCACCTTCATCATCCATGGAATGGTGAGGGTCTCTAACTCGTTCTTCTCCATCATCGTCTTGACTTAAAACGGATGGCTAAGTATGGGAAGCAAAAATATTTCAGTTCTGGCGGTCATCCTGCAACTTATGGTGAAGATAATATATAAGACCAAGAATGTAAAAACCGCTCGGACCCCAATTTTAAGGACCTTGGTCGCCCGTAATGACGTCATCAATATGGTGATCGTAAGAGGATGCTGGGTCGCTATGAATTAATAAATGCCTGAACCGATTTTAATGAAATTTGGCACACAAGTGCTTGAATACGATATCTAATCCCAGTTTGCCAATGGTCGAGTTTGATTAGGCCATTTCAAAATGGCGGCCGTTAATCACTAAAATAATTAAAAATTGTTTAGTGTTTTGTTTTATCAACTCTCTCCAGAAATCTGCAGCAATCTTTCATTTTCCTTGCAATGACAGGTTGTGATGCCGTTTCTACATTTCATGGAATAGGCAAAATACCCCCACCGCAGCAAAACCTGCAGATTAAGTGAGTTTCCATTTGCCTGATTTGATTTTAAATTAAATCTATTTTAATAACCTAAAGTTTAATTAGTGTTTACTAGGTTTGCTGCAACGGGGAGGGTAATAAAGTGTGTTTTTTAATTAAAATATGAATAGGTTAAAATAAATGAATTTTCCAAGTTTTATCAAAATATAACCAATAACTAGCAAAATATCCAATCATGGTATTCAAAATGGCTTAGGGAGAAATTCGAAAATTTTACGTTTAGAGGGGGAAACATGAGAAAACCCAATTTTTACCCCATAAATCCCCCAGAAAACCCTGTTCTCATGGTTTGATCATGCTGGTTCGAAAACCCGTTAGAGTAAACTTAGGTTTACACGTTTTTACCAAATTTCGTCAACATTGGGTCATTTTTGCTTGAGTTATCGTGCTAACATACTTAAAAAAGTACACGTCTACAGTCATTAACGCTGTTAAAGTTTGATGTTATATCATATAGAAAAGTACAAAAAATCTTTAGATTGGTTTTAACGAGTTCGCAATCCAGCATGATCAGACCATGGGAACGGGGTTTTTGGGGGGATTTATGGGGTCAAAATTGGGTTTTGTCATGATTAACCCTCTACGCATAAAATTTTCCAATTTCTCTCTAAACAATTGTGGATACCATGATGATTTTGAATACCTTAAAAACCAATAATTTTGTTTATTGAAGTGTTTTTGTACGAATATTGGTTACCTACTGAGAAAATTCCAAAATTGTAAATTTATCATTCTCATTTTATTCTCATGGAGAATAAGTAAACTGTTGTAGTTTGCTCGTTTAAGGATATATTTTGATAAAACTTGGCAAATTTATTTATTTTGACCTTGGCTATCAATATTTCAATAAAAAAAAACACACTTTATTATCCTCTCCGTAGCAGCAAACCTAGGTATTAATTAAATTCAATTAAAATATATTTAATTGAAAATCAAATCAGGCAAATGGAAACTCACTTAATCTGCAGGTTTGTTGCAGTGGGGGTATTTTGCCTATTCCAGGAAATACAGAGATTTCCATCACGACCTATGATTGCAAGGAAAATGAAAGATTGCTGCAGATTTCTGGAGAGAGTTGATAAAACAAAACACTAAACAATTTTTAATTATTTTAGTGATTAACGGCCGCCATTTTGAAATGACCTAATCAAACTCGACCATTGACAAACTGGGATTATATATCGTATTCAAGCACTTGAAAGCCAAATTTTATTAAAATCGGTTTAGGCGTTTTGGTATTACAGTATAACCAATTCATAGCGACCCAGCACCCTCTTACGAGCAACATATTGATGACGTCACTACGGGCGACCAAGGTCCTTAAAAATTGGGGTCCGAGCGGTTTTACATTCTTGGTCTCATATATTATCTTCGCCCTAAGTCGCAGGATCACCACCACAACGGAAATATTTTTCTACTACCCATACTCACTTAGCTGTCAGTGTCAAGTCAAGACGACGATGGAGGAGAACGAGTTAGAGACCCTCACCATTCCATGGATGGTGAAGATGCATCAGTAGCTGATGAACAATATGACACGTGGTGGTTGAAGAGGTGAACCTACCAGTTTCTTGTTTATTTTTTCTCACAACTTTAACATGTGACACAGACTCATGTCCAGTTTTGTAATAATTGATATTAACTGTATTATTTTACCTTAATTAATTTGACATATTTAGTTTGTCATAAAAAATTAGTCTTTTTCTAATAAACTGTTGGTTGTATTGCTTTTATTTTGTTACTAGCTGTGTACCCGTTCTACGCACGGGGATCTTATAATATTCAGTTGAAACCTTCTTATATAAAGAACATCAGTTGGTTTGCATATTTTAAGATATGCTGGCCAAACTATTATACATAGCTTCATTTTATGTTGTTTTTTGTTGTTCCGGATCGGTATGACAATCAATAAAAGGTTAAATTACCTCTGTGTCTGCCGGTCGATCCTATAACGGTAGGCTTACTTTTATTTTTACTATCTGATCTCGTTTGCATGGCTCAATCACGTCCTGGTTGAAGTTCGTTCGCTACGCTCACTCACCTGTATGTTGGAGCTCGTTCGCTGCGCTCACTTTCCTTCAGGTTAGCTCGTTCGCTACGCTCACTTGCCTTCAGGTTAGCTCGTTCGCTACGCTCACTCGCCTCCAGGTTGCAAATTAGCTGTTGTCATAAATGTAAAAGAAATAATAGTGCTAGTGCTGCACCCTGTTGGTAATCCTTGTAACTTTAATGCTATTGAACATCACAGAACAGAACCAACTTGTTTAATTGAAACAGCTGTTAAGATTCAATAATTTCATTTCTCATAAGGTTAACATGGGCTTCCAGAAATTCCACGTCAAAAATCGACAAAAACTTGATTTTCAAGGGTTTACTGTTAAATATCTAACTGTCTCATATTCGATGAAATACGTCTAAAACCATCTCATATATGTATAGTATTTGGAAAATAAGTTTCAGGCGGGACAGTGCTATAGTTATTGAGGAGTAGTTGTAATAAAGTGCGTATTTTAGCGTTACCAAGAGAATGACAGATAGACAGACAGACAGACAGACAGACAGACAGACAGAAATTGAGATAAGGTTTGATTCGGTTTCTCTGACCTATGAAATGTAAAAATAACCAAAAAGTTCATTATTCTAAGCAATGTACAGACAAAACTCTAATTTTATTTATATAGATTTTTCGATTGTGCATCCTAAGAAACATAGAAAACGATACCTCACTTGCTTGGATCCCATAAATAAAAATTTTCTCAAAATCACTACCCCCATAAACTTTAACCCCCATAAAATGGTACTTCCACCCCCACAATCACTAGGGACTCTTCAGATTTCAAAACCTAATGGCAATTACTACGTTTCCTGCAAGTTTCATGAATGGACTAATTTTTATGTTTTTTTAGGTGAGTTTTACCTGTACTAGGATGCGTGTAGAATGGAGTGAGATGCCTTGAGTACCTTTGTTACTGACTAAGATCAGCTGTGGTATTAGTCAGCAGGATTATTTATTTAAAGCCCAACCTATTTAGCAGCCTGCGTAGCTTCGTGACTTAAAAATCCGTGATATATTTGATATAACTTAGTTGATAAGGGTGAAAAACTTGATTTATTTCTCACCATTTTCCTATTATTTTCATTGCGTGCGTGATCTCTTCAAGGCATCTTAGTAAAATTACATATGCTAATGAAACATACTATGAAAACACAAAATCTCTTCTTTACATTTTAAACAAATAATATTACAATAGTTTACTTAATTTTCCTAAACAACTAAAACACAACAAAAACAATACTATGAAAACACAAAATCCTATCACAACACAAAATCCAGTGTAAGTCATTTTGTTCTTTACATTTTATACCAATAGCATTACAATATTTTACTTGAATTCACTGAAACATCACCAACTACAGATAACCCCATTTTCGTATGGATGCAAACAAAATGTAAACTTGAAACAGTTCAGAGGATTGACAACATTATTCATCACAAACTCTGAAATTTTAAAAGCCTGTAGGACAAAGGACTTTCACGAGTTATCATCCAAATCAGCTTAAGGCACATCTAGACGATAAGAGTTTTAAACTGATGCCCAATATGCATATAAAATAAATATTTATGGGTCGATTTGCTTCACACATAAATCCAACAAATTCGTTTAATAATATAGATGACCAGAGACATCTAGTTTCAGTTTCGTACCATCAAAAAGCTACTGACTTTTCTCAGGATCGATCCGGCAACCTTTTGGTGAGCACTGTAACCACTTTGCTACCCAATGATACAATATAGTGATAGTCAAATAAAGTTTTCCGGCACTTCAGTCCTGTTTCTAGCTCGTGAGATACAGCTGGTGCGTCGTAGCGCGTCCAGAACCCCACCGACCGCCAGCTGTCGTTCCGGCACCATTGTCGTCAATCTTATTATCACTCATTGTTATCAGACCGCAAAATAGTCCACTTTTACTGACAACAAGACATGAAATCAACCAGAGCTACACCTGTTGGGATGGGGCGACTACGAGAGTCCAATGTCACACTTTAATGAACGGCGATGATAGGAGAGATTTTAAAATTATGATAGTTTTCCCTATTTTTCCGTTAAAATATTTATTATGTTTGTTAAACGGATCAAAAGAGCAAAATATCTAATTCAAGTATCTAAAGAACACAGTAAAGGCAGCGTACGCTCTAAAATGGGTTAACTGAGATTATAATAACTTCGTTGTATTTATTAAAATGCCTAAAAAGAGTATAGAAACCGTAAAAAACACCTAATTATGAGGCTACAACTACAGTGCATTTTAAGTGAAATTAGAATCAATGGCTTTAGAGTAAGACCACCATTATAATTAATTGATTTAATTAGTTTTTGGGAAACCACATGTATAGGTAAAAGGTTCTTAACACGAGAAAAATTTGCGTACACCGGTACACAAAAGTCGTAGAAATAATATTTTTTGTTTGCATGCTTGATATGCACCAAAGGACTTTGATGCCCAAGTTACCCTGCAATACGTATGACTTCAGTGCAAAAGTTAAGCTGCAATACACAGGAATTCTAATCACAATAAACTCTACAATACAAAGGACTTTAGTAGTGCCCAAGTTAAGCTGCAATACACAGGAATTTTAATTCCAATAAACGCTACAATACAAAAACTTTAGTGCCCAAGTTAAGCTGCAATACACAGGAATTTTAATCCCAATAAACGCTACAATACAAAGGACTTTATTGCCCAAGTTAAGCTGCAACTCACAGGAATTTTAATCCCAATAAACGCTACAATACTAAGGACTTTAGTGGCCAAGTTAAGCTACAATACACAGGAATTTTAATCCCAATAAACGCTGCAATACAAAGGACTTTAGTGCCCAAGTTAAGCTGCAATACATAGGAGTTTGGTGTACAAGTTACGCTGCAATACACCAGATTGTGGTGTTCAAGTAGTGCTGCAGTACACCAGATTGTGGTGTTCAAGTAGTGCTGCAGTACACCAGATTGAGGTGTTCAAGTAGTGCTGCAGTACACCAGATTGTGGTATTCAAGTAGTGCTGTAATACACCAGATTGTGGTGTTCAAGTAGTGCTGCAGTACACCAGATTGTGATGTCCAAGTAGTGCTGCAACACAGTGTCTAAGTGACGCTGCAGTAGCAGTGAGCTGTCCCGGAAGACCGCAGGAGTTGCACAAGTGTGATGCAAGGCGGGGATCCCGAGGTGGCTTTCTCGCGGGGAAAGCAGCGACAAGGACGCGAGGAAAGTGAAATGACTGCAGCATGTCCTGTGAGGACCGCGTTCACTTTCAGGGCCGTCCTTCCGCACCCAGCCTCCGGTAACGCACGCTCCTCCCTCCACGCGACAAGCCATAGTCACCTTCAAACCCGTTCTGATTGTTTAAGGTTGGTATTGTTAACACTTGTTGCTGACTTTACTATTTACAAGAGGATTACAATGGCAGTGCTACACATATAGCTCAGACGAATAATGGTTTACAAAATATATGTTTAACTAATGTTTTCAAGATAAAAAAATTCCCAAGATTTCTTATCAAACTACTAGAACTACACCGTCGGCATTGTTATTTGACTAATATCAATGTATGTTCAATAAAGAGTATATTTAAAACATCTATGTTAATGGAATACTATTATGGTTATGTTCAAAGTACGTGCTTATTGACTACTCTACTCACCATTACTTTGCCTCTTGGAGCGAGGTGAAGGTGGGGACGCGGAGTCTGCGATAGTTGTGATCCAGATATACAGCAAACATCCTGTAAACATGTACAATTTCGTAAAATCATGAAATTACTGAGCACATTTAGAGCCTGCAATTCACTAGCATGAAAATCCTTCAATAGATTTTAATGTCTTCTGTCCTAGATTGCTACCACACATGTGATGCTGACTTAATTATTTGTAAAAACAAAGGTGACGTCACATTATTGGTGTATATCCTTCCCGTTTGACTCATTATTCGTGTAAGTCCTTCCCATTTGACTGTCCTACGGGGCACTTGGACCTGTGTTGTTGGCTAAGCATTTTCTTTCGGCCATGAGGCTTATTTAAGCTCACTAGTTTATTCGTACTCTTGAGGAATGATTGATTACAAAATTATAGAAAATACCCCCGCCGCAGCAAACCTGCCGACTAAGCAAATTTCCATTTGCCTGGATTGATTTTTAATTAATCTATTAAATTAACATTCATGTTTAACGAGTACCAAGGTTTGCTGCTACAGGGAAACTAATAAAGTGTGTTTTTTATTAAAATATCAATAGCTAGTATGAAATAAATAAATCCGCCAAATTTCATCAAAATATATCCATAAACAAGCCAACTACAACATTTTACAATATTCTTCATAAGAATAAAATGAAATTTTAAATTAAAAATTTTTTGAATTTTCTCCGTAACCAATCCCCGTACAAACACACTTTGACATACTTAATTATTTGTTTTTTTGAGCTCTTTAAGAAGGTCTGGAGAAAAATTGATAAATTTTGTGTTTTAAGGGTAAAAAATGATAAAAATCAATTTTTAACCTAATAAAACCCCCCGTTAAACCTCGTTCCTATGGTCCGATTATGCTGGTTCGCGAACTCCTTAAGTTTATCCCGCCTTATACCTTCAAACCAAATTTTATCAAAATCGGACAAAAAATACTCAAGTTATCGTGAATGAATGATGATTATGAATTTTATGGAGCAGTCATCTTCAAGCTCTTTATATGTTAAAGAATCTTGTAATTGTCGTTCACATTCATTAATATAATCAGTTTTGTTTAAAATAACTATGCTGTTTCCTTTGCCAGCAGAAAGTATTACAATATTTTGGTTATTCTGTAAGGATCTGATTCATATATATAAATTTGAACGAATGGTGTTTTTGGCCTCTGGGGACACCAAAATGAAAAAGTTAATCGGTCCCGGGCCTAGGTCTTACCATGAGACCTACGGTAATAGCTACTTCCCTATAGGGAAATTCGCTAAAATGGCAGGGGTCAAAGTTTAAAGATGAGAATGTAGCGAGTAGGAGGTCAAGCCGGCAATATCTAATCTTACCTAGAATTGTGCTGTAGCTCATGTACTAAAACACAGCCACCTTGAATGTTTACAGCAAGTGACTAGCTCATCTTTGGTGACGTCATAATCGAAACAATTATAGGCTAATGTTTAGTCAATTAGACGATGCAATGCAAGTTTCAGTGCGGTATGAAGGACTAGTAATTGTTGATGGATCGTTGATTTTATGGTAAAGTCGTAGCTCTACTCTTTATCATCCCCTCTTCACACAAGGGAAGTGGAGATTTTGGCTATGTTATTGAAATATGATGGACCGAACCACGATTTTTACAAAATAATCTTGTAACGAATTTATCAGAATGTAGAAATTTGAGACAGTAAGTATTTAGTAAACTAACAATTTAATCATTTTACCGTCCATTTAATTCTATTTGATAAGCTTCTTAACCAGCTGGTAAAATAGAACGAACACCGATGAAGTTTTACTTCCTTTAATTTTGCATCCCAAAATAATCTTACTAATATTATAAATGTGAAAGTTTGTGTGTTTGTTTGTTTGTTTGTTTGTTTGTTTGTGTGTTTGAAGTTCAGTCACGCATAAACCACTGGACGAATTGGGCTGAAATTTGGTATGATGATAGCTTACATTCCCGATTAACATATAGGCATATTCTTATCTCAAAAATCCTTTCGGGCTCCGCCCCAGTGGCTCTACAATTCCCCATGTTAACATTATGAGTATTCATATTTAAAGGGAATTAAAGAATTTAGTCAGCTGTTTCAACTAAAAAAGTTGGTTCTGTGATATGGAAAAGCATTAAAAAGTTATAAGATTTACCAACAGGGTGCAGCACTATATATTTTTTGAATTTATGAAAACAGCTAATTTGAACTAAGCAGCAACAAAAAACTGTGATTCGCAATGAGAACTGTCAAAGTAGGATTGTTTACAGTTAAGTTTATGTTTTTCATTTCATGAATAATTTGTGATATTTTGTGAATTGTTGATGGTTTATTTTTCTCTATTGTTTAGGTGAAGTGGTAGAACATTATGGCTATGGTATATGTGTAATACTATAGAATACTGTAAATTTAAAAAAAGCAAATTTTATCAAACTGTGTCCTCCCTTATTGCAAACACAAAGCTTATATAACTGCAATAAGCATTTTATACTTATATTCCGTACGAAGGACGGGTACTCTGCTAGTTTCCCATAAAACACCAAATTACACGAAAGGCCGTTTTTAAAATATTTGAATGCAAGAGAGATTTTTTTATTTGAACTTACAAACCGATTAGTCTAACAACCTACCAATAAACAATTAGGTAATTCATATTCACATGTAATTTTTTAGTTGTTTAAGAGAGTTTCACCGGATACATTTTTGTCCTGTGGATATTTTCGGAAAGTAAGAGGAGTTGATAGTATCTTTTGTGCAAGCGTGTGTTGCAGTCATGCGTATCCACGTACCTTCCGTGTTTATTAAGGACAAATAATGAGCTTACGCTTTTTGCTTATAAACTCGCAGTATCAAGCTCGTGCCGGGAGAGAGTGGTGATTGTAAGGTGTCAAAACCCGGATCCGGATATGTCCTCTACCGGAAGCATTGTCCCAACCTTACCGGACAGCGATGTCATTAAAAGTAATATGATATGTATGAGCATAGAGAAATTTGTCTATTGCATGAGCATTGACTTTAGATACTGTCATTTCACGTTATCATGTTATCTGAACTTATGTAAATGTGTGTTTAATATCTGGCGACGACTAGAGTGCGGTGATATGACAAATTAATGTTTCTTTTTAAGCTTCTTTATTCTTGAATTGAATAATAGAAAAGAAAAGAAATAAGAATAGGCCTACGACCTCATGTATCCCTTGTGTTTTTACCTTCAACTCTTGTTACCCCCGTTCAAGCCAATGTGTGAAGTTCTTCTATTCTTCTGTTCAACGTGCTACGTGAGAAGTAATTTACCTGTTTCAGTTCAAACAATGTGGCCTGCATACATGTACAGTTTTTTTTTTTTTTTTACCTATACATGTTAGAGGCATTGATAATAATCTGAAATGGCAACCATTCAGCAGATAACCGACGGAACTGTTACATGCTAATAAATTTGTTATTCACGAGAATGTGATGAACAATTACTTATTATACATGTACTGGAATTTGTAAATAGTTTGTAAAACTATTTTTAGTTCATTCTTTACTGCTGATATTACATATTTACCTTAAATTATTATCGTATTTTCCTTCTATCACTCTGTAGCAAGGAACTCGTATACCAAGTTTAAGATAATTTATACACCTACGAGAATAGTGTAGCCTCAAAAGGACATATTCGTCAAACGGGTGTAAAAATGATATTATTATTTTTACATACTATCGGCAGTTTTAGTATATTGTTATTATATTAATATAACGGTTGAGTGGAGTGCGAAGGCGCCGGGGTACGTGGGAGGGGAGAGAGCGACTGACTCACTCACACTTTCCATTGACTGTATCATTCGCACCTTCCTGACACTTTATAATTTATTCTCTCCGCTTATTATTGATGGATCGTTTTTATAACAATGTACATTTTACAATTTTCCCCTGATCCTTTCTCAGGCCCCGGATTTTATTCAGTAGTCGGCACACTTTTAAAGCTTGTTAACTCTGAAAATAATATCAACCACTTAAATATTTTATCGCGTTAAAGGTGTTTATAACATTAGCTTATAGAAAGGCTTAGGTTCTTACTACCTGAGTCTGATCTCTTTATTTACTTAGCTGATCTTAGTCAGTAACAAATCTATAAACTCATTCATTCAAAACCAAAACTCATCCTTCACTCATCTTCGCCGAAACGCACCAACCAGGTGTGTCGGCTTCGTAATAAATCTCTCAAATACCTGTATTTACTACATTATAGTACTTAGCATTGCAATCAATGTAAGATTGTAAAAGATAATGAAAACTCTAAATATTTGTTGGTAGAGGCCTAGAATAGTATTTTTATAATCCAATATTCCTGATTCTGAAATGTTACAGTTGTTGAAGACGGATCCAGGCACTATCTTTGGCAACTTCGCCATTCATCTCGATGAAGTGTGTAATTACTACGTCACACAATGTCACCCCTCAGACTTGTATGTCTCAGCTGGACTTGTATTGTTGTTCTTTACCTCTTTGTCCCCTACGTGAGTTGCTTGAGGAGGCGGATACGAGTGGTCTTGACCCCAATGTGTCCTATCTGACCATTGTCCCTCCTGAGTACTTTCAGTTCAAGCCACGGACCACTCACTCACTCACTTACATGCCTATTGCCTATTGAACTGACAAGTTTACGGTATAACACAGTTACGTGTGACATTGACACATTCTACCAATAACTCACAATGTATGTGGTGTGAAAACACCTGAAATGCAATGTTAGCAGCAAACATTGTACTCAGTAAAAATGGCGAGAGGTTTGGTATTTTGAGGCAATTATTGTTTCTACGCCAGTGCATTTATTACTTTTTATGAGGGATCGGCCAAACCCTTGTTTTATTGCGATCTAACGTCGACCAGTTGGAATGCGTCAATATTTAGTAATCCAAAGACTAAAGGCAAAATACAACTGTGTGTACAAATTCTATCATTCTCAAAATCGGATCCTTCGGATATGAAGCCAAATATACACTCAGCTCGAACTCAATAATGTCAAATTTAGTGAAACAGAATAATATTTCAATATAAAAACATAATCGTAAGATTTTAAA